ACGTCTACTAGGTCAGGCTAGGTACTTGCTCTGGTTGTTCTTGATTGTATATTGTAATTATGTCGTTTTAAACAAATTATTAGTCACTCAAAAACAACCGCTGCTTTCCTCAACTACACTGTAAAATACGCTATTCGTGACGTTTTCCTGATTTCCCTTTTTTATCAAAATATTATTGTTTGTATTTATGTTGAAAGTTGCATTAATTTGTCGCTATATGCAGCCAGCGTTCCTATCACAAGTCGCCTTTCCTATGAACCCTTGTTCATAATAAAGAATGTTGATATTACCTAGGCGGCCCTCCTTTGAATTTAATTGTTATCTGAGCCAGCGAATATGAAGCATTAGTTACACCTTGGTTATTCGAGGCATCATATTAGGACCGAAATCCATAATTACCTCAACAAACAGGCAAACTTATATATATATATAATATATATATATATATATATACACTAATATATATGGCCATATACATATAATATATATACATATTTATAATATTCTACTTGCATTGCAGTTACAAAACTATCATGTAACATCTGCAACAAAACTCCTATTATTAATATTATTTATTATGCTTATGCTTATTATAAACTTATTATAAAATTAACCCCTTGAGAAATAAATATACAAATACAAACGTTTGATATATAGTATATATATATATATATATAGTATATATATATAATATATATATATATAGTATATATATAATACATGGCTATTGTTTGAAAAATATAGAAGATATGGCTATCGTATCGAATCAGCTGCTATTACGTACGAACACAAGTCTGTTCTGATATTTCTGTTGCATATACGCGGACTTTGACCGTCATGACGGACACATTACTATTACGCCATGACGGTCAAAGTCCGCTGATAGGCAACAGAAAGCTCAGATCAGACTTGGGTAGTCATGGCCGGCTATCGTTTCAGACGCTTTGAACGCTGACATAACCAGCCCGGTAAATATAACTTATAAGCCTATCTAAGAAAGATTAATATCGTAACATTCCTTATAAGTAGTTTACGAAGGAGTAGAATACATACGATAAATGAATGCAGAGATTCGCGTGGCACCACGGCCTCTAGCATACGGCACATAGGCCATTTTAATCATATAATTGAGTACATATATTGTACTCAATAGCGGGATACCCGACGTTGCCCGGGAAAATTAGTGGCGTTACTCAGTTGGTGACCGCTTGGTTGAAAGAAAATACCCAAAAAAATCACACACACACACACACACACACACACACACACACACACCACACACACACACACCAGGTACACATTCGCGGCGCACACACACACACACACACACACACACACACACACACACACACACACACACAACACGACACACACACACACACACACACACACACACACACAAACTCTCTCTCTGTCTCTTTCTTTCTTTCTCTCTCCCTCTCTCTCTCTCTCACTCTCTCTCTCTCTTCTGCCATCTTCTCTTCTCTCTCATTCTCTCTCTCTCCCTCGCTCCCTCTCTCTCTCTCTTTCTTCTCTTTCTCTTCTT